ACACACACACACACACGCACACAGATCGAAAAACTTGTCTGTGTTGTATTTGTTTTCTGTCAACACAGATAGATAGAACATGAATAATCCGTCGGAGAGTGCTAAGGAGGTAGTTCTACGGAGGTTCCTCTTGGGCGAGAGTCTAATCGGGTGGCGGTTTCAGCCCACCGACGAAGAGCTACTTTCGTATCTCGCCATGAAAGCAGCTTCGGGATCCTTGCCTTTTGAGGTTATACCCGAGATTCCGGCAGCTTCTTTCTTCGACGATCATCCCAAGAATTTAGGTGTGTTTTTTTTTGGTATCGAGAATGTGCTTGTTTATCGGAATTTAATCATCAAGAATGTGTTTATTTGCCTCGATTAATCATCACGAATGTGCTTATTTGTCTGAATTTTTATTCGAAATTTTTTGTTGCACCGAGGGTTTGATGCTGACGAAGAATGTGCTTATTTGTCTGAATTTTTTTATCAAGAATGCTTATTTATCGGAATTTATCATCACGAATGTGCTTATTTATCTGAATTTTTATTAATTTTTTTTGTTGCACCGACGAAGAATGTGCTTATTTGTCAGAATTTATCATCAAGAATGTGCTTATTTATCGGAATTTATCATCAAGAATGTACTTATTTATCGGAATTTATCGTCACGAATGCGCTTAATTATCGGAATTTTTATTAGAATTTTTTTGCTCCACCGAGGGTTTGATGCCGAGGAAGGATGTGCTTATTTATCTGAATTTATTGAATATTGATGCATCGATCTACGAGATGATACACATGAATAATTTGCTTATTAATTCGTCTGATTATTGTTTTTTTCAATTAATGATCCATAAAAGGAATTTGTGTATTGCTTATGATGAAATCTAGGGTTGTTTTTTACTAATTTTGATTCAGTAGTATGAGCATTAAAGAAGCACGATAAATTTGAATTCAATTTGAGAAAGAAAAAATCACGTGTGCACGGCGTGATTTTCACCCGGTGTACGGTTTAAGAAACCCTATTTAAGGCGTTTCGTTCGTGTGTGTGTGTGTGTATATATATATATATATATATATCCGATCTTATACCTATATATGTATAATAACGATTTGTTTGTTTACCGTTGGACTTTCGATTCGTTCAGTTAACAACCAAACGAAGGATAACGCAAATAGCGCGTTAGATAAAGAATGGCAATTCTTCATCGACGGAGACGAGTACTTTGAGGGAGTGATGGTAAAAGATCGTAAAGTGGGACAAGGCGTCGGTTCTTGGAGATCAGTCGGCAGAGAAGACGCAGTCATCGGTGAAGATGGCAAGGTTATAGGTTACAAGTATTTGTCGACCTACTTTACGACTGCCGAGAATTCTTTGAGGCCCAAACAAACCCTATGGGAAATGCACAAGTACCGGTTAAGTGCAGAACAGGTTAACCTGTCCGCACCGGTTAAGCGCTGCGTGGCCGCAAGAATCTCGAGACGTGATACTAAAGCCAGCTAGCTGTATGGATTGATTGGTCTATGCAGATTCGGGAGTAGACCGACTTTTTATCGCTATGGCGAACACCAAACTTTCTAGTAATTTCGAGAATATTGCTAGTTTGAACAATTTTTTACATTACATATTTGGAGTCCGATATTATTCGAACTTGTTCGTTTTTGTTTTTTTATCTGTATTATTTGGCTCTTTCTTTCTTTTGATCGATATTATCCGGACTTGTTCGATTTTTTTTTTTTTTGTTAATTTCAGTATTATTTGGACTCGTACAATCAAGTTTACTACACATGAGCCTCTCGGGAACTTTTGGGAATTTGCTTTTCTATTTGCGAACAAGATCAGTAAAAAAAAAAAAAATCCTAATTACACTGCATTATTTGATATAGTTTATAAATCCAAAAAAAAAAAATCACAAAAGAAAAAAAATGAAATCGAGGTTATCATTTTATTTCTTTAAACCGGTAATTTTATGTAGAACAAAGTCTAATAAGTTATTGGTCGTCCAACTAGTTTTCTTTCTCTATTTGAGTATATATATAATGACAAAATATATTGCTATTGCACTACCTCCTAATTGTTTAACAATTTAATTATGTATAAAATCGAATTAGCTAGTATAAAATACAAGAAAAATATTGTTTTTGCCTTTTATCTTAATAATTAAACAATTTTTTGGAATGAAAAAAAAATTGGTGAAAAAATTGCTTAAATTAGTAAAATTTGATTAACTATTTTGCAAAAATGTATGTGATCTAATCGTGGATAGCGGTCGTCATGAAATTCTTGTATCAGATAAATTGTTGGAGCCATGGGAATTGTCGATTGAGAAGCCATTTTCTATGACGCGTATAGAAATAACATGTAAGTGATATTTTTGTGCGGAAAAAATTGGTGGAGCATTTGAAGCTTCTAGAAGAGGAGAATGATAAAGGAATAATAAGGCTTTTATGTATCATAATCTTCGTATTTGAGTCTGAAACAAATATCTCTCAAGTTGAGAACAGTCCACGAAAAAAACTTGAGAGCAATTAGCACACGGATCACTAAATATTTCAGCGATTCAACGTCGTTTAGACCTTCAAAATGCGGATTTATCATTCGTAGAGAAGTTTAAAAAAAATAATCATAGCTCATTCAAATCATGATTCAGTCGATTGACCTATTCCTAAAATAACAAGATCTATTAGATTTAGTCAATAATTCATTTATGCCACATTCGACAAAATTTTGTAGGTTGCGGCTATATGCAAGACTAATTTCACTTGTGCAAGACCAAATTAAAATTTTCAATGTATAAATACTATAATACCCTTATTTATTAAAAAAATAAAAAATTCCAATATGCAAGACCAAAAATTCAAAAACACAAAAAACCCTATCACAAGACCACAAAACCACAAGACCAACTATCATCTTCTCCATCTTCCAAACCCACAAGACCTTTCTCCTTCCTCCTCCATTAACCCACAAAACCTAGAAATTCAAAATCATCAAAACTCAACAAATCTTACAAAGATGGCAAGTATGGAGTCAGAAGACATCAAAATAGAAGATTCTACGATGGAAGAACCCAAGAATGTATGTATTTATGGGTTTTTTTTAGCTAGAATATCGATTTTCCAAAAAAAATCCCGCGCAAACGAATTCGACATGTACAGGTCGAATTTTACGGGTAAAAATCGACATTTAGATGTCGAATTTGAGGTATAAAATTCGACATTTAGATGTCGATTTTTAGGTATAAAATTCGACATTTGAATTTGTGCTACAAATTCGGCATGTCAATGTCGATTTTTACCTATGAAATTCGACGCTTAAGTGTCGATTTGTAGCATAGTTTTTCGACACCTTGGTGTCGATTTTTGTTTTTTTCTCATTATTTGTATTTGGTCTTACATGAGAAAAAAAAAAAGCCAATTTAATTTATGGGCATACTTGTCATTCCATCTTAATAAAATAGAATCCTTTGGAATCTTTCTTTAATTTGGTCTTGCACAAGTGGAATGAGTATTGCATATAGTCGCAGCCAATTTTGTATTAATTTCCTAGCTTAATTAAGCAAGTGATCTTTAGGGTTTCATAAATTTTGAAATTAATATAATTTTTTGAGAATTTTCTATATTTTTCAATGAATTCCAAATGTTTGCTTGTTGTATAGAATTAGTTCTTTTCACAACACTTCCGCGTTGCGTAGCCTCCGATCTAGACGTACGACTATGAAGTTACAAGAAGCTATTTATCTACTAAGATTGAGGTTCAAGATCGAGGATATACAATTTTAATATCAACATCGATCGTTGCATTCAAAGAAAAATGAGGTTATTGCAAAAACTACCCCTGTGAAATCTCTAATTGGCGAATACCCCCCTGTGGAAAAAAATGTGACCAACTCCCCCCTGTGTTATCAAAGTCAAAGCATATGGACCCCTGAAACTAAATCGTGTATCTCACGCACACTTTGTGCGAATATTTCTTTGTTTTCACTTGTGAAATGTCATAAATGCCCACCCAATCCTATTTATTTCATACGCAGTCTAAAATCCCCAATTTTCCATAATCTCTCCCTTCTCTTTTCTTTTCTTTCAATGCCCTAATTTCAGCCGCTCCATTTCAACGTTCAATTGCTCTGTGATTTTATCTCGATTTCCGTTGATATTCTGATAATGTCGTCGTATTCGTCTAGCAACACACACACAGTCTGCAGAGGAGGAGCATTCAACAATGGCGGACAATCTGAGCGCTTCGGCGTCAACTTCTCTCTCCAACGAAACCCATCTCTTCTGCAACTCTCTCTCTCCTCCAAATCTCCATCAACTCAGAACCCATAAAAATCTCTTCTTTCCTCTCAAAATCCACCCCTCGAACCCCAATCTCCGCGTCTCCTCCAGAGTTTCATTACAAGAACCACCCGCCGCGAACACAGTCTCCCAAAATTCCGGAGCCCTAATTGAAGAAAAACCCATTTCGAAATCCACTGCTTGGGTCAACCCCAAAAGCCCACGCGCCCCCAACGGCACTCTTCGTTGCTGAAGCTGGCCGAATCTTTAGATTCCTGCGCCCGCGCCCCCGTCGAAGAGGATGTTTCGAGCGTGTTGAATATTCTCGGAGATGGAGTATTGGAACAGGACGCAGTGATTGTTCTGAACGGAATGTCGAATACCGAAACTGCCCCTCTGGTGCTCGATTATTTTCGGAAGAGGCTGAAGGTGAAGAGAGAAGTTGTGCTGTACAATGTGACCATGAAAGTATTTCGAAAGTGCAAAGATTTAATCGGGGCGGAAAATTTGTTCACTAAGATGCTCGAAAAGGGGGTTAAGCCCGATAACGTAACTTTCTCGACGCTGATTAGCTGCGCTAGGCAGTGCTCGTTGCCCGAGAAGGAGGTCGAGTGGTTCGAGAAGATGCCGTCGTTCGGGTGTGAGCCGGATAAGGTGACTTGTTCGGTGATGGTGGATGCGTACGGTAGAGTTGGCAATGTGGAACTTGCGTTGAGTTTGTATGATCGCGCGAGGAGCGAAAAATGGCGGCTCGACGCGGTAACTTTTTCGACGTTGATTAGGATTTACGGGTCGTTGGGGAATTTCGACGGGTGCTTGAATTTGTACGAAGAAATGAAGGCGTTAGGTGTTCGACCAAATGCTTACCGAGAGAGTGAAAATGGGTTTTCAGATGCAGGTGTAATTTGGGAGCGAAAGTGAAATAAGTTTACCGAGAGAGTGAAAATGGGTTTACTGCTGTTATTTCATTGAGGGGTATAATGGTAGTTTCACACGCGGTCAATGTTTAAAAAAACAATGGGTGCGGTGAGCTTTGTAATTCATAACACAGGGGGGAGTTGGTCACATTTTTTTCCACAGGGGGGTATTTGCCAATTAGAGATTTCACAGGGGTAGTTTTTGCAATAAACTCAAAGAAAAATATTATATTGAAATTTAAATCAATTTAGTTTCTTAAACATTTTGAGAAAAAAACTCAATTACTTGATTTGATTAATTGCCAACCGCACTCATTGTATCGAGCAAATGTACAGACATTCAAATCCACATGCATAGTGAGTCTCCTAAATAGAGATGTTGTTTCTCAATTATGGATATTAAATTGGGTAAATAGCACTTAACCCCTTGTGGTTTGGACATTTTGCATATGATCCTCTTATGGTATGAAATTAAGCACATAACCCCTTTGTGGTTTTGACATTTTGCACATGACCCCTTATGGTATGAAATTAGCACATAACCCTTTTGAATAGAAAACTGGAAAAGACTAAATTACCCCTATCAATTCAAAAGTTCTTGTTTTAATTTAAAAATAATTATTTTATAAAATGAAAAGCTTAATGTATTTTTGTAAAATGAGAAGCATAATATATTATTGTGTTTTTTTCTATTTTAAAGCACATATATATTTTTTGATTCAATTTTCATTTTAACTTTAGAGAAATGTTTTTTTTAGATTTTTCCAAAAGAATAGAGAAAAATAAAGACTTTGTTTTTAAAAAAAGTCAAAGTTCGATAACAACTACTCCTATAATATAATATATTATATAGAAAATAGTAATATAATAATCATAATTAATGATAATGTTAAAGATTTTCAAATTGATTTTTAAAATCGAATAAATTATCAATCGTACAATAACTAGTATTATATACCTTTTGTGCTATAAGATTAAAAAAACACAATAATATATTATATTTCTCATTTTACAAAAAATACATTAAACTTTTCATTTTATTGAATAATTATTTTTAAATTAAAATAAGAAGTTTGACTTGATAGGGGTAATTTAGTCTTTTCCAGTTTTCTATTCAAGTGGGTTATGTGCTAATTTCATACCATAAGGGGGTCAGGTGCAAAATTTCAAAACCACAAGGGGGTTATGTGCTAATTTCATACCATAAGGGGGTCATGTACAAAATTTCAAAACCACAAGGGGGTTATGTGCCTAATTTCATACCATAAGGGGGTCATGTGCAAAATGTCAAAACCACAAGGAGGTTATGTGCCTATTTTCATACCATAAGGGGGTCATGTGCAAAATGTCCAAACCACAAGAGGATTTAGTGCTATTTACCCTATTAAATTTGACGATACTTAGACTCAAATTTACCCATTGGAGGTGAATTAAATTTATAAGTACAAGATAATTTATTTATTTATTTATATAATTTAGATACACAATTGAATTTATGAGGACCAGATACACAAATAAGCCCATCAATGGGTATTTATTCATAAAGAGATCAAGACAAAAAATTATTTACCAATAAGTCCACAAATGGTCCAGATTTTTGTAAAGGACTAAAATAACCCCTCCAATTTCATCCTTAACTTTATTTTACCTCAATTTAACCCCAAATTTCACAAATTATTCAATTTTGACCAAAAACTTTTTTTTTTCAAAAACTTTTTTTCCCGCCGGTCTCTGGCGTTGACTTTTCAAATTTTTTTTTTTCCCGATTTTTCGCCTCGGCGTTGACTTTTTCGATTTTTTTTCTTTTAACTTCTGTTTTCGTTTAAACAACAATATTGATGTGATTGACAGTAATATTAACTATATTACTGTTAAGCACAGTAAAATTAACTAAACTACAGTTTAACATAGTAATATTGTTATATTAATCTCCAGCACAGTAATATTAACATAACAAAACTCATTATTATTGTGTAATAGAGTAATATTACTATGTTGTCCGTTCAACAAATGTTAACATAATAAAAAGCCAAAAAAATTAATATTACTGTAACAACAAATTCTTATCTGCGATATAAACAAACAAGAAAAATTGAACAAAGATGATTTTATTGAATTAAAATAAATAAATTGCGGGTTACAATCTCTATTTTAATCCTCTGATTCTTCTCTCCAGAACAATATATAGTTGACTTGAATTTTCGGAGTCGGGTCGTTGACTTGATCTTCTCCGGATTTGATTTTGGATTTGAATAACGTTTTCCGAGGGTCTCGCGACTTGAATTTCGGATCGAACGTTGAACCTTGACTAACTTTGACTTGAAGATCTTGAAGTTCTTGATGGATTTGGCCCTTCAATCTTCCAATGATCTTGACTTGAATTTGATTAACGTTAATCCGAAGGTTTGGCACCGTTATCTCGGATCAGACGCTGGATTTGATGAAGAATGCCTTGAATTTGCTCAAGAACACCTCGAATTTGACGAAGAACACTTTGAATGTAGAGGGAGAATCTTACCTCATACGAATTCTTCTTCCTTGCTTCTTGAATTGTAGAGAGAATTTTTGCTCCTACGGTTTCTGCTCCTTCAGTTGTGTTTGAATTGTGAAGGGAGGGTCCCTATTTATAGCGGCAGAACAAGAGTTCTTGATGGGCCTTACTGATGATGTGGCACGATTTGATTGACCCGATTTAAATTGATATTTATCTCTTGTAACTTGGAAGAGAAGAAATAATCTGATTGGCCAATATATATTTAAAATCAATTATCTATTTAAATTAAGAATTTATTTAATAATTAAAATTCTTAATATTAAAATAGAAAACATATAATTGATATTTAATATATATAATATACATATGATTTTTACGCATTGATATATATATATATATAAATGACTTTGAATGCTTAATTACATATTTGCCACTTGAATAAATTCACTCGGCTCTATGAAAATTAGCAATTTAATTGCTTGAAAATTTGTTCGTCTACAAATGCCCCCTCGAGATTTGTTCACGGACGATGCGTCTTGAAGTGAATAAGTCACGAATAGTTTGGAGTTTTCATTTCTAAACATAATTCGGTAGTCTCATAGACACGACCCTTTGCTATTTTGATTCCATGGGTCCTTTGTAAAATCAGAATGGATTAAACTTGGACCCAATTTCTTTTCAGTGAGATCGGTCGCAAAAATCCTTAAACAAACACATGTATACGCCTCTTTATGGGGAATCATGTTTTTTTTTTGTTATTATATATATATATATATATATATATATATATATATATATATATATATAAATCAACTGGCCACACTCGAAACCGAATATGACGAGAGAGACTTGGAATGCAACTTTAATTGCAATTAGAAAATTTTTGTAACAAGAAAATTTGAACAAGAACTCTTCGTGCATAAGAATTCACATGGAAGTTCAAAGTAGTTACGGATTAATATTCCCATTGGACAACAACCCTTCATGTACAATACTCTGATTCTACAAACTCAAAGTAGGGGAAAAAACAATAGAATAAGTCTCTCTACGTCAACTCACATATACATGCAAAAGGATTCTTTGTCATGTAACTTGATTTCTTTAATTCAAACATGCACTACAATTCCTTGCAATTGGATAATTCCTAATCCTAATACCATTAGGATTTGTCTTTTCGTAGCTTATAAAAGGAGGTGACCCCTACCAATTTTTCATTCATCAGGTTTCAACCATCGACCCTCCTGCAGAAGGATTTTCACTTCCATCGAATTTAGCTTTTTTTTTTTTTTTTTTTTTCACAAGCTGATTATACGAGCTTTGCACTGTCTTGACAGCTTACGCGATGGTTTTACTTCAAGGGTACGCACTCGTCTTGTGGCTCGCAACAGTTGGTGATTCTCATTGACGACGGGCGTACGAACCATAGACAAAGGCATTCTCTCAAAGCTTGGTGATTCTCGAGGACGAGTATTAATTCATCAGCATAGGCACATTCTCTCAACGGCTGGTGATTCTCAAGGACGAGCATTGATCAACGAGCATAGGTACTCTTTCAACAGTTGTTGATTCTTGAGGAAGAGCGTTGATCCACGAGCATGGGCAATCTTTCAACAGTCGGTGATTCCTTGACAACAAGCATCAATCCATAAACATATGAGCGCTTTTGACTGTGCTTGCCCCCTTATGGTCGATATGCGAAGCTTTCCACACATCCACTTCATAAAGAAGAGTCCTCGAGCGTCAATCCACGAATGAAGGCGTGCTCCGGACTGTCATGCCCCTTTGATGGTAAATATGCAAAGTGATGGTTGTGCTTCAAAGAAGTGATGACTGTGCTTTCATAATCTACTTTATATCAAAGAGGTGATGCCATCCTGACAGGCGATGCGCAAAGATTTCACGAGTCCGCCTTTTATAGAAGAATCACTGACGTCGAGCATCGGTCCATGAATGAGGGCGCTCTCCTAATTGATCACCCCCACAAGCAAGTATTTTCATGCAGCGCCTCACCACGAGCGAGTTTCTTCGTGCAAATATTCCAAAGTTGGGCGCCTCACCACAAGCGAGTTTCTTCGTGCAAATATTCCAAAGTCGGGCGCCTCACCACAAGCGAGTTTCTTCGTGCAAATATTCCAAAGTTGGGCGCCTCACCACAAGCGAGCTTCTTCGTGCAAGTATTCCAAAGTTGGGCGCTTCACCACAAGCGAGCTTCTTCGTGTAAGTATTCCAAAGTTGGGCGCCTCACCACAAGCGAGTTTCTTCGTGCAAATATTCCAAAGTTGGGCGCCTCACCACAAGCGAGCTTCTTCGTGCAAATATTCCAAAGTTGGGCGCCTTACCACAAGCGAGTTTCTTCGTGTAAATATTCCAAAGTTGGGCGCCTCACCACAAGCGGTACATAGATGATTCACCACTTTTCCGGCGCAAGCTAACCACTTTGTTCGAGGCTTTCCTCTCTCATGATGTTAATTCCTTCGTCATCTTCTCATGCTTTACCGTAGGCTCGTCTG